CATCACTAGTAAAGTGTTCATATATATGTACTAGGAATGCTTCAAGACAAAATCAAATGTCTTCTTTTCTTTTTAATAAAATTTGCTTTTAGGGTCTGAATCATCAATTTACACTTTATTGGTTGCTGTTCTAATGAGAATTTCTTGAAGAAACATTGATTATTATCAAAAAAATATTAATATCATAAAAGTAGAGAATTTATGCGTCTGCTTAAGACAGCCAGACAGATGGGATCATGGCATCCAATTTTCAGGTTCATTACAATTAATACCAGATAACAATGTCATCCATCCCTAACATGATTAGAAGAGATTCACTTGGAATCTTTAATAAAGTTCATATGAACAACATTTTACAGAATTTGGTCTTGTTTTGTTCAATAACTTTGATAAAGCATTGAAATGAATGGAACCTAAGATTTTCTCTTTTTTTTTCTGTCTTCCATTGAAAATAAATTCCTCAACATTTATCTAATAGAAAATGCAAGAAAACTCTACAACAAAACATAGATAGTATAAACAGTAGAAATAGTACCATAAGGTACTAGTACATACAAAGACAAATAACAACATTGGTTGAGTTTGTTTTTAAATACAAAATTTATCTGATTCATGTAATTTATTCTCTCAGTTTGTTCTTGTTATATTTTTAAAAAAACCTTAATATAAATAAAAAAACAGAATCAATGAACAGCATTCATATTGTATCAGATTCTACCAATCAAAGCTAATGATAGTTGCCAAGTTATCAGAAAATTAAATCTCAAAGTTAGTGGATTTTATTAGCTGTTACTATCGTGCAATCGTCCATAAAATATCCATGAACATAAAACAACTTGACAAAAGCTTTTACGCACTGATGAACAGTGCATGTCGTTTTATATAAAACAATTGTAGCATCTCTTTCTCAACAAATACTTCACATTCAGATAGCTAACTAATACATTTTAGCACACAATATTAAACATGCAAGCTGTTAAGTGAAATACAGCCCACAAATGGTGGTCTGATTTTGTATTAAATATTTTTTTAGCACCGATTTAAACAGCTAAATTTTGCTTTGGAATTTGTTGCTAGAGATGCTGTATTGGTTCTACTGACTAAGATTGATATGCCAATATAGTGTTAGTCGTTTAATAGGGTTGATACAGTACAGCCAATGAAAAAAAACATTGGAGAGCAAAATTTATAATCAGAATGCTGGAATATCGTAAACTATTTATCAGAATTGATCAAAACGATTAGTCTTGTTGTAATCAAAGGTTCTAGTGAAAGGTAAATTATTGTTAGTAAATATGAATATGTCTCATGTCTGTACATGTATGCCATGTCATGACTCAGTATTGTCAATTTATAATGAACTGACTAATACAGTTGACTACCATAGGGAAATGATATGCAAAGCAAGCTCACTGATTAGTGAGTAAAATCAAATGATAGTATATTTATTACAAGTGGTAATAGTTTTGGTTGTGCTGATGGTCTCATGATAGAATACTACTGGGTATAGTTCTAACAGTACTATCAATAATTGTCATTGAAATGTATTCTATGATTAGTTTGATGGTAATGATTACATTTTGATGGCAAGGTTTACGTTTTGATGGTAATGATTACATGATTGTAAACGTTTACTGATATATCAAAATTTTATTTTAGATTACAATCCTTGACTGAAAACTTGAAGATGAACAGGGTCTATATAATCATAGTTTGAGGATGTTTTGCTATGTGAAAGATGGCACCAGATGCATAGTGTACCTCAACCATTTCTTTATTGCTTCCTACAATATGGACTCAAAAAATACTGATTTTGTAAAAATTATGTGTTTAAAATTGATTCATTCAGAAAGTATGCAACTTTTTCCAATAAAACTTTAAATGGTTCCCTAATGAAAATCTTTGTCTAACATTAAGTATTGATATGTTTGACTGCATAAAATTGCAGAGCTAGTCCCCAAATTACATTGTTGCTGATAACAGGAATTTGTTAACAAAAGTACAATATCCATACTTAGCTATGTGAACTTTCCAATTAAATGAGAAATGGTATCAGGTGTTCAAAAGGGATGAATTTTGTTTTATAAGAGAGATGTATTTGTCGGATTGAGACCTCTTTATGTATAGATTAGTGTGAACCTGACAATCTCATGGTCAGTGAAATCTGTTTAAGTTTGGCTTGTCCAGCTTGATGGAAATATTGTAGAAGGCAGGCTTCAGGGCTACAGTACAATAATTGGCATCTTCACAGAATAGCTCTTTCTGATTACTTTTATTTCTCCACTATAGTTGACATTCTTTCCAAATCCAGTGCTTGTGGAAACACAGACATCTATTTCAAATAAATTACATCAAATGGTTTCAACAAAATCTAAAAGGTTTCCTAGTAATTGCCTTGTCAGTCTTAATAATATGATTTATTTAAGCTAGACCTCAATAGATTTTATAATTGCTTGACAAATGTTCCGTTATAATTCGTGTATGAGAAAATTTCTGTATTCTAATGATGACATTAAAGAAATTGACCCGAGTAACAAGACATTGACCTGAGTGATGTATTAAGTAGTATTATGGTAGTTCAAGGATTCGATGAGATGCATCATATGGATTTAATTTGTGACCATATGCTTTCATTTCGACCTCTGGTCAGGCCAACTTTGTCACCCGGCATTTCTTTCTATTAGTGCTAATGCTTTCTACCTTCTTTCAAATGCATGCATCACACATATGTAGACATTCTTGGGAGAACGTAGATATCTTGAGGAAGATGTAGGTATGTGGCGTCTATATTCATGTTTTGACATGTGATATAGATTTATAGCTCAATGATATATGCATGTGTGGTACACCTACTTATCACCAAATTCATCAGCAACATAACTCATCTGTATACTAAATATAGATAGATGCATCTACCCAGCACAGTCACTAAATGAGTGTACTACAGGGCTAGGGCACCTTCCCTTCAAAGCTAATAATGGTATGCGACCTAGGAAATATGTTGAGTTCGATTAATGAGCGATTAGAGTAAGTTCATGGACTGCACAAATCCCATCTGAGCTAAATCCCAAGATGTCTTTGCAGAAATTCAATCGTACATCAGAGATCAGCTGTATAGTGTGATTCACCATCTGAAATTAAGGTCTAAACTGCTGCTCCTCTTTGTTATAGTAACAATTGATGTGCAAGTTTACTCTTTCTAGAACACCTAGTACCATATCTCAATTAGTAAGAAATATTTATTGTAATATTTATGCCCATCAGAAAAATCTGTATTTCCTGACATATTAGCGTGTCCTACTATAACATGGCTTTTTCAGGATTTAAACCTTTAAAAGTAAAATACTACCGATATACATTGATATTAATGATTATTTATCAAGAACAAGATAGAATACACTGATTGGTATAAATCAATTGTTAAAATTCTTGTTTATTTGTCCATTTACAAGTTTTATTAATTTATACAAAAACAGTGGTAAATGACTGAGAGTAACATGTTGACATGATGTTAAGATGATATACAGTTTTTATTGATTAAATTAAATAGAATATAAACTGGTTATTATTCTATATTAATTTTTTTTATGACACAATTATACCACTTCTATTATAATTGTAGTCAAAAAACCATTTCAAATGTTGTCTTGTAATATTTTCTGACTTCTCAATGTGAACAGAAAGGATGAGATTAAACATAATTTACACAAATTGTAAATTATGTCTTCAAATTAACTGTGTTTAAATTTTTGGGAAATGTTAAATCTTTGTTGAGAAGAAAACGAATGAAAGCTTTCCTTACATCCAGCAAAATATCATAATTTAACATGCAATACACATATTATTTATTTTTTCGTCATCATTTTGTTGTCAGTGTCCATGCAGGATATCTAAGAAAAGTTGACAGGTTTTGATGCGATTGTTGTAATACCATTACACATGCTATTACTGATGTTTATATAGAAAATGTTGACAATTCAATATTGTTTAGATATTCACATGAAAGCCGCAGATAAATCAAATAATCCATTGTTCCAGGGTCTGTTCTATCTTTTCGATTTTATCTGTAAATAGAGATGTTGTGTGTAAAAAATACAGCTCTTGTGTGTGACAAGTATTCATCGACCTTATTTAACGTTTGATCAGTGTTATCTTGCATCGTGATATCTAAATTTTTAATTGAAATAATAAAACTCTTGCTAATGGGATAGGCAAGTTACGTAATGTCTTTTTATCAATAAAGTTTTAAAAGTTTAATAATGATGTTCCAAAGAGAACAATTACACGATCAAATAACTTCAATTGACCATATTCCGGAGTGGATTACATTATTTAAAGAAGTGTGAACTATGGTCACTGTTTATTTGAAATGTATTTATTAACATAGACAGAGTTAATACTCCTGAATATTATATCACAAGGATAAACTTAAAGCATATAAAGTCTTAAGAACTTTAGTAAGTAGGCAGTTAGCATATGCCACATACCAGCCCCACCCTCCCATCCCTCCCTCTCAGGAATATATCTCTTAGGTATCTCACAAGATTATCTCCTAGATATCTCACAAATATATTTCCGAGATATCTCAGGAATATATCATCTAGATAATTTCTAGTGAAGGAATATATCTCCTAGATATCTCACAAGATTCTCTCCTGGATATCGCTCGAGATTACCTGCTAGATATTTCCCGAATATATTTCCTAGATATCTCATGAATATATCATCTACATACTTTATGAATATTTTTTCTAGTGAAAGATATTCCATGATGTATGTTAAATGTACATATTGCAAACATGAGATATTGTCACAAGTAATAAATGAACACAGTATTAAATGGTTAATATTACTAATATTAATTAATATTATTAAATGATCCAATTTCTAATTGAGCTTTCTATTTATAACATGTTGGATAGCTGAAATCTATTTTTATTTAAATTACCAAAAATAGCTTTGAGTCAAGTATTGAATTTGGATATATCAATATTTTTCAGGGTCAAGAATATGCAACAGCCTATCTCTTGGAATATCAGAGAGAAGATGGAGGGAATTGGATCCGATTTCGTAATAGAAAGGGTATTGAGGTAAGCTTTAATCTATTTTAATTAGTAGTTGCTGTCCCTAAACGTACTGGGCATTGTTTCAGATAGAAAACTGTTTGCAATTTTATATTAGACCAACTTACATTAGGATGCCAGTGTAGATTCAGACTGGGTATGGTTCAACCATGGACCTTATGAAATAAGGTGTGTGGTTCAGCTTGTTTACACTGGGCTGAATGGTTAGCGTGTGCACGCTGTATCATAATGTCTGTCATTGAATCAACTGGCATGGTTTTGATTCCCTGGTTGTATGTGACAAGGAGTTGGGTCGCCTGTCCAACCTTGTGGGTTTTCTCCGGGTCCTCCAGTTTCCTCCCACTGCTAAAAAGACCCCTAAGCACCAGCGAATTATTGAAATAAAATTGAACCATATGTTAGTCCCAAAATGACCTAGTTTGTGTCAAGTGGACATTAAACTCCATCTCACTCTCTGTCTCAACTCATTTACATAACCAAAAATTTACCAGATCCAGACAGACTATCATTCCATGTTTTATTCAACTGCAAATGAAACAATTGATTAATCTTGGTCCCAAATCGCTTTGTTCCTTGTTTATTGGACTGTAAACCCTATTTCCTTTTCTTACTTACTAAGACAATGCAAGAGTTTGTTAAGTTCTTAGTTTTGTACCCTTACAAAACAGATGCTTATTACTATACATGTAATGTTTAAAGACTGCTAAACGGTTTGTATAAATAATACATCAATTGCATAATAAAGAAGCACATTTGAGGCCATTAGAAGAGCTAATGTTATTCTCTCGAGTCTTAAAGACCAAAAGGTCTAATTAGAATTGGTTCAGACGAATGCTCTGGAAACATATCTGCCTACCAACAGAAATTACAAAATATATCAAAAACACATTGTGGCTGAGAGTAATGACAAGATAAATTTTGTTTAGAGGCTATTGTTAACCTTTCATACCTTAAACGACGCAGATAATCTCGACAGGGACATATATCTAATTCTTGTGTCCTCACGATATATGTCTTACAAAACGTCCGTGAAATGGCCTACTATTGATTTTTCATTAGTTTTCAAGAAGAGTTATGCCAACTGCTTTCCTTCCACCTGACCTCGTATTGGCCTCCATTATTTCTCTTTCTGCGAGAATGTGTAAAAAATATCTTGCTCTCCAATAGGATCGCATCTTGCATGGATCAATTTAATATCAACACATTTGTACAGTCTTGTATTCGGCAATAACTGACAGCCGTGTTAGATTAACACATCAAAACTAAATTAAGGGGCTGAATTTAAGATAGATGAAATAGGAAAAAAGCATTAGGATTTACTTTCACTTACGAAGGAAGTAAAGGATACTTCTGCCGTCTGCCATGAATCTAAATGAAGTCATTCTTTACTGTCAGTGTAATATTGGTAGTTAAATTACATTTTGCCTTATATGGAAATTTGAATGAAAATCATTAATGTTGGTGAGTTATGGATTTCATCAAGAATAGCAAGAGAGCTATGATTCGAGATCATATGCTGAATAAACTGGCAAATCACAGTCTCGCTGTATAGGTTAGGGTTAAGTTGCCAATCGGACATTTGAATTTTAAAGTTAACCTTTTTTTCAAGCTGTCTTATTAAAAAACAATTTGATAGCATGGTTCCTAGTACAACCATATTTACTACCATTATAAATATATTGAATAACTTAAGGTAAATATTTCAAGGTGTATTCTAAAAATGGAACAGTGTACATATTCTTGGCCCTTTTATAAGACTTTTAAAAGATTGTTAAAATTTACCGCCGACCTTTATTGTAATTTTCATTATAGTGTGATACTGAATAATTATCGTGTAATCTTAACAGAAACAACTTTTTGTGCTCTCAAAATTGATCAATATAGAAATTTTATATAAATCAAATTTATTGAACATAGAACATCAATAAAATGACAGAAGAACAATGGACTGTGTTAAGTTTTTTAGATATACACTCTAAGTTCTTTGTAGTTTATCACTTTCTTCTTGATTTTGAAGATAACAATAGATTTGAAGCAGGTGACCCTAAATTCCAGAAGAAGAGTATTGATTTTCTTGGCATGCAAATACTTAATGTGGTTTCACAGGAATTCTCCATTATTGATTCTTCTTGGTGCTATAATTCAGGCGATGCTTCAGTGACAAAGAACATTTGCTCGAGTATTGCATTCTAATCCTGAGGTGATTTTTGTAAGAATAACATAGAATCTGTTGGGTTTTAAGTAGATTGCAGTTCAAGATTTACTTTTTTTTATAAATTTAAACTCGTGACCAGAACTTCCTTTTGCTGTAAATTTTGTAAAATGTCATTAACCTGGTATTGCTTTGAACATTTGTTTTTTTAGTGAACCAACCATCAATGGCATTTCGTAGAATTAAAATAAACCATATTTTTCGGTGGGAAAGCCAGGGTCTCCAGGTTAGCGAACCAGTGCCTTACTCACTGTGCCATAAAACTACTCCCTTGTATAAATGTAGCTGCAATAAAAATACAGTAATTGCCTTGTATAGAAATTTGTGATTAATTTAAACTTAATCATCTAAGTCTACATTTAGGACAGCAGAGGGACATTATTCATTCTTCCTGCTTGTAGTTTTTGCAAGCTCCAACCCTCTTCCCTGTATTTATGTTATGCTTCCATCAACATTGTAATTCTAGGACTGGCTAATTTATTTCAAAATCAGAAATTTTGCTTAGAACGTTAATTAAGGTGCCCCCTCCCCCCCCCCTGAAAAAATAACGGAAATGAAATGAAAGGAAATGAAGTGGGGTTTAATGTCCTACGGTTCTGCTCCGAATTGGGCTAATTGGACGGGCATACACCATACAGTGTGCTATGAGGGAAATTTTGCCCCGGACAGTGGCACTACGGTCTACTCTTATATCGAATTCCAACTGTCAAGGGATCTTTTATGTGCATGCCAATGTGTACACAGGACCTCGGTTTTTTGTCGCATCCGAATGACTAGACAGCTGTCCTTTTCAGGCCCTCCATCCAGAATCGCTGACAACTTGACAAGGGGGAACAACGTCGGAAAATCTGGTTGTACTTTCTCGTTCAGTGCAGGAATCGAACACCTGAACTCCAGGCCGAAAACATAGCAAAAAAATAATCTGCTAATGGAAGTTCTTACTATGTTAGATTTAAACTTAAGATTTATAGAAAAGTTTATAATTTATCAAGAGATACATTAGATGTTTTAAAAACAGATTCCGTACTTAACCAATATTAAGAAATTGGTTCTGATATTAAATCGATAGTATAGCAGAAGTAGTTATTGATATCAATATGTCTCATGTCATCTCTGCTGTGATAACTAATATCATTCACCATAAAGAAGCTTATAGAAATCTTCTCAAGGAGCGAGTAAATCTTCTCGTTTCTATAGAAACCCTGACTAAGGGAGGCTATAATTGTTGAAAATAATTTCACCTTTTGAAGAAAGAAGTTTCGCTGTATTATTATTGTAAGAAATATGACTTGAGCATTAAGTGATGTATTTTTTTCTCTTACATTCTGTGCCATAATGGTCACAAAAGCACACTGATACGAAAACGCAAATTTATTGTAATTATTCTTAAAGATGGTGTCCATTATGAGGATGTGAACAATAACCCCTTCTTAATGGAGCCATTATTAAAAGAAAGAATTTAGATATGACATTAATTCCTACTACAACGCTTATATTCTTCTTTTTTCCAAATAAATCTCTCCTTATCATTGATTGTTATTAAGCTAGGTTATTGTGGGTCTACAATAAATTTGTGCGCTTGATTAGAAATTGAGATGTTGCCGATTGATGTACGATATCGGTAAGGTAATGGCCACTTTCTGCAAAACCATTGGGCCTAATCTACATGAATTAGAGAGTAATAATGAGCTTGTTTTAAGATTTACGACAGATTTCGATGGGCTTGAGGGAACTATTTTCCAATATTTATTTGGTTTTGGTGGAAATGGCTATACTTTGAAAATCAATGACTTCTAACTATAGGTATCAAAACTCATAATTTGTAGTCACTAAATGGTTAGAGACGGGAAAATTAAACTACTGGGTATGTAACACAACTATTATAATGTTTCCTAACTGTGTTTTGACAGTATATTACTCCATTTTAACTTCAAGTAATGAAAAGTATCATGCCTAAGGCAGGGTATGTTTACTATTTCTATAACACCGGATACAACTTCTCATTTTGGAGTTGATATAGCTAATAAATGTTTTGAGAACTTATACAGTATAATCTAACTCAGTATATTAAATGATATATTGTTTAAACTAACCAGTCAATTTTGTTCTGCTTTGTATTAAATTAAAACAACTACACGTTGCCTGAATCATATGGACAATCCCTTTCATTAGAAGTTTAGGGGTTTAACATACAAAAAATATTAGATTAGAAGGTTTTAGATAAATTATTTCATTATTAAACTACTTTTTGGGAAATTGATGACAACCCTTGTGGTTAAACGTACAACTCTAATCCTTGTGTAACAGGGCTGTACAAACAAACTCACAACCAGAGTAGCAGCAGGCAAAAATTCTGAAAAACAGTTCTTGTATTGAATATATGGGGAAAAAACCTTGTAATTAGTGATTACGATACATACCTAATTTTAACCAAAGGCTTAAAGAAATTCTATTTTCTATTCCTTATTAATATTATGAGTCTAAAAATATATCTGTAATAATGAGTGAAACTGGGATAATTATTTGTAACCATGTTTCTGAGAATATACTTAAAATTGCTTTAAGATATTGTGTAACAATAGTGACTATGTATTTTAGTGATTGGAACAAGAAACGCTTCTAAAAATAAATATACTCGAGACTTATTAAGAGTGTACACAATGGTCTGATAACCTTCTCTCCAGACCGGCTGGCATGTGATGCAAGCACCATTATTGTTTTTTTCTGTAAACAAATGGTTTGAGGTCTGGTGAAAGGGACTATTTCAGAGTGGTGACTCAATAGCCTCATCAGT